TGTGAGATTAAGTGTAGGATTTTTCTTCCAGCAGGTGGCTTGAAATGGATTCTTGTATTTTTTTCAGCAGGAGAGCACGGCATTTTTGTGTATCTGCATTGCTTCCTTAGGCAAGGGATCTGGACCCAGGCCTTTGACATTTTAGCTTCTAGTGCACCAGCTGGCTAAACTTGTTTTTGAAATAGTCCTGATTCTTAAAAAGGAGCATCTCAGACCTATTTCATTGGGCTTAATAAGGTCAGCAGAGAAAAATCAGAATGGCCTGATTCTTTTTTTTTTTTTTTTTTAATTAAACCACATTAGAGTTAATTTAAGACCTGAATCCTTGGGCTCTTTTGACTTCCAAGGGCAAGTTTTCGTACACAGGCTTAATGGGCACCGTCCTGAGTGGGGATGTCGAAAACCTTCCTTTGAATGGTCAGGAGAGAAGGAAATCATTATGGCTAAGTTCTTGGAACAAAAACCATTATTTATGACAATCAACCCAAGTAAATGGGACAAAAGGCTTTCAAACACAAGACTTAACTAGAAAAGAGCTCTGTCTTTCCCGAGCTGTTTTAAGCTTGGCTTTTTTCTCTTATTCATTGTGGGTTGATGTTGGGAAATGAAGAAGTTGTGTGTGTGTATGTGTGTGTGTGGTATGTGTATGTTCTTCCCTACACCATCCTCATCGCCACCTGAGTTTTTATTTCTAATTTAGGGTCATGTTTCTCAAAATCTAAAGACTTTATGACTATGGAAGGACCAGTTACATCTGATTGGTTATTACTATTTTTTTTAAAGCTTGCACAGGGATCTAAAGCATCTGACAGTTTGAAATAGCTAATTTTAACAGAAACACCTGTTTTTCGGGTTGAATGTGACTATGGTAATGTGCAGATCACGCAGAGATTTTGAAGAACGTCTGCCACAGCCCCTTCTGGTTTTTGCTGGTACAGAGCTCGGAGTCAGGGAAGAAATCTGCAACCTTCCCTGTGCTTTCTGCCATGGGGCCGCACCTTGGTCGTCTGGGTTTCCAAGGTGGATACAGCACCAACTCTGGGTTTCCAAGGTGGACACAGACATTTGTGTGCCCTCCTGGCAAATTCTTGTCTTGATTAAAAAAAAAATTTTTTTTTTTAAATTTTTTTGCATGAGTATGTGTGAAATGAATTGGCCTGTTTTTACCTAAGTCGGGTCTTTCGTTTTAGGGTCCTTTGGACAGGGGAGTTGTCTGTTTCCACTTTAGTGGTGGAAGGCTCTAAGACTGACTGTCCAGATAGTATCGGGGGCGGGGGGGGGGGGAAGTGTGATACTGGTGTCCTTGATAGGGATTGATTGCATTTAACGGTACAGCCCTTCAGGCCAGGGGCTGGCCTGCCCGGGACATGTGTGATTACTTCTTGAAGTGAGTGTGTGTACAAGATGCCTGCAGCAAGTATACATATGCAAGGAGTAAAATTGTTTCTGGAAGTGAAAGCGAGAATGGGCGTCGGTGCAGCAAATCCTTGCTGGGGACAAACACTGTGCTGAGCCCTGGGGGGTGCAGCTGTATGTGAGACAGGGTGCCTCCCCTTGCATAGACTCTGGGCCCTATCCCAGGCCTGATCAATCAGAAACTCCGGGGCGGAGCGGTCTGAATTTTGTCAAGCTAGATGATGCTGATGCATGCCCACCCTGGAGAGCGGCTGGTCTGCAGAGCCTGCTGGTTTTCCTTTTCTTCCTGGCTGACTCCGGGAGCCCCAAGTGCTTCTGTATCAGGAGGAAGCAGCATTTCTGCAAGTTTCTTGTTTGCTCAGGTGTTTTGTTTTGTTTTGTTTTTCCCTCCTGGATATTTTGAGCCCCTTTCTTCAGATTGAGAAGATAATGTAGTCTCTCCTGCCAATTTGGAACTGGCAGGTTTTTCTCTTGCTGTGTGTGTCTGGGTGTGTTTACAAGGACAGAGTTCGCCCCCTCCTGCAACCCCCCTTCGAAATGAACTGAAGTCATAGAATAGTAAACTGGCAAATTAGCTCTCTGTGCTTTTGCGTGTTGTTGCCTCTTGTCCTTGAAAACTGGAACAGGCAGACACCCTCATTAAAAATCAACCCTTTACTTCTTGGACTGTCTAAGAAAGAGCACTTTGCTACTGAGTTTAAAGTCCTCGATTCAGAACCAAATGAAGCATGCAGACTTACTCCAAAGCTCACGTGAGGGATGACCGAGTCTGCAATATATTCAGGAAGTATGTCCTTTAACAGCCAAATTGGGATGGTCTTTCAGAGCTGCCCTCCTCACGAGGGTGGTCCCGGAAACTGGCATCGGGCGGATAGCAGAGTCTTGGCCCCACCCCAGACCTACCGGATTAGAATCTGCTCTTTGGCAAGATCTCCAGGTGATTTCTGGGCACATTAACGTTGAGAGGCACTCTTCTAGGAGACAAATATAGAGGCCATGGGTGAACTACGGCCTCATTCTTTACTGTGGGAGCTTAGGCAGTTATGTTTATTTAGATCTTTTCAGCTTTTAAGCATGTTCACCTATGTTATGTAATTGGGTCCCTAGAGCAGGATTGGGAGGTGGGCAGGTAATTACTGTGCATGTCATCTAAACATTTGTACTTCTGTTCTCCCATTGTAAAAGTTAAATATTTGTGATGAATTCCCATGATGTGTAAGACCTGTAATGACCTCCATAGGCTACTACAACACAAGGTCATTGGGAGTACGATCTAAAACCCTTCCTGTTAAAGTCAGTTTCCCCTAATCTTGCCTTTACCCTTCCCTTAATCTGACACATCACATACATTGTGATGTGCTCAAGGATGTCCCAAATAAAGAGCATACATAACCCTCCCCTCTTCCTCTGTCATGCTGTGTAGCCCACCTGCCCAGGCTCCCTGAAACATTGCATTAAGTTCTTAAAACCACAATGTCAGTCAAACATTTCAGACTCCAGGGAGGAATTGGAATGCTATTTTAGATTTGCTAGCATAATTTAAAAATGAACCCACTTTTAAGTATTCATAACTACATGTATTCGAATGATGCAGAAGTAGGGCACAGAGAGGGAAATTTTAAATCTTGTGTTTGGAGGGGAAATGGATATGGTCCGCACTCAGGGTTACTGAGCGTGCTTCTGAAATTACCAGCACACCAAC